GTTTCTCTGTGGCTTTGGAGGCTGTCCAGGAACTAGCTCTGTAGACCAGGCTGGTCTCGAACTCAGAGAGATCTGCTTGCCTCTCAGTCTCCCGAATGCTGGGATTAAAGGCGTGCGTCACCACCACCTGGCAAAATTTTATTTTATTTTATTTGAGACAAGGTCTCATTCATTATTTAGCTCTGACTGTTCTGGAACTTGCTGATGTAGGCCAGGCTGTCCTCAAATTCACTGCCTTCTAAGTGCTGGGATTAAAGGCGTGTGCCACCACACCTGGCTAGCCACACCACCTGAAAGTGCCCCATCTTGTCTGATCCCGGAAGCTAAGCAGAATTGGTCTGGTTAGTACTTGGATGGAAGATGTCACCCCCAGCACATACACATGTGTACACCCATATCAAACACCCCCTAAAACCTCAAAAACAAAAAGATAAGAACAAAAACCCATGAAAATGATACAAATTTGTAGCTTTTAAGTAAATTAGAGAAAAATTCATTAATTACATTATTAAAAGTCAAAAGCATACCTGTTTCAAACACCCATGTCACACATGAAAGCAGCTGTAGCTGCAATGGCATATGAACAATGTTAACTAACAGAATTCTTCCTATGTGTCACAAACCTGGCAATATTTTATGTGCATTAGCTTTACAAAGACATGTTATTTGTTTGTTTTCAAAAGGTCTCCTGTAGCTCAGGCTGGCCCTGAAATCCCTTTGTGCCTGAGGATGACCTTGAACTTCTGATCATCCTGCCTCTATCTTCTTCTTTCCGCCAGCCAGTGAACCACTTGGGTGCTAATAACCAATGACTCCCTAGATTTGGTAGGATCCATCTGGCCATTGAGAGAGCACATTTACACCTGCAAACAGGCAAACCTTTGAATGCTGACTACATCCTATTTAACAAGTATCTCCAAGGGGTTAATTACTCTTGATAGTCCAAACAGCTGTCTGCAATCTACCCAAGTCAAAGCACCTGTAACTCCAAAGGCAACAACATAAAGATCTCATGTGTAGTACCTGCTTTGTGTTCACTTCTGAGTCCTTTGAGTTCCTTGTCTCAGCTGTCCCAAACTCAGAATTAAAGCTACAACATTTACAAAGATATGTATGTTACTTCACTATAAACACAGAGACAAGCTTTACTATCAAGAAAAAGGAATTCATCTATTTACTTTTATAAAACTTATATATTATATATATTACATATATAATTATATATCTGGAAACAGGCATGTTTGGTTCACATATGCTTCCTTTTCCTTGCTTGCAAATAGTTAAATTTCAGTTGAATATACAATGGACTAAGAGAAATGAGACTCTCCTTACAACATTATAAAGTTATAATACTTCATTTCTTCATTTCTTTCTTTTTTTACAGATTAAACTTGTCCTTTGACAATTTCAGATAAATACATACATAGTCCCTTCCTTTATCTGGTAGTTCCTTCTATTTACTCTCCCCACCCATCCTCTCCTAGCTCCTTCCCACCTGTCATTGCCCCTCCTTCCTGGAAGGCCCTTTCTCACATTCATGAAAACTATGGAAGGTGCCCCCAATTTGTGTGTCACCCTTGCACAGGAGCCATGCCAGTCTTCAGTCTCTTTTCAGTGTTAGTGTCTGTGTTGTCAAATCCAGCAATGACTTCTTCATTTCTCCTCCCATTGATAATTTCTATTACAGATCCAACTCCTTTTTTAAAATTAAATATATGGAGATTCATTTGCTATCATTGCATCTCTTAACTATACTCATAAAACCAGTCTTACAGGGTTTGATTTCGGAATAAATAAAATCTAGTACGAAATACATTACAATCACTTGGCAAAGTTACTGAATATCAAGAACCACCCACTACAGGAGAAGGAAATCAAATCAAGGCAAATCATGACTTTCAGCTGTTCTCTCAACTGTCTAAGTCATGTCTGCAGCTGTTACTATACAGGGTGTGAACATGTGCTAGGAAGAGAGACGAGAATTGGGTAAATGTCTATTTTCCCTTCTGGGCCTCAGTGTTTTACCACTGTTAACATGAATACATATTTACATCCATGCTGCCTGACAATGTATCCTAACACTTTTTTGAAAACAATGTTTAAGAACACACAGAAGTTGGAGAACGATGTTTACAACAATAACATAGGGTGTTCATTTATAGTAACTTAACAAATCTAACAGTGATTTTTTTCTACAATTACTGTGCTACTTCTAAAGATGCACTGGCAAGTCCTACCAATTCATTCCAATGAGAAGGCCCTGCCAGATCTCAAGGCTGGCCTATAAAGTGCACAACAAAGCAAGAAATACTGCTTATTAATCACTTCCCCGACTTGCTGGCCTTGCTCTCAGCTGTGCACTCGCCATACAAACCTGCTCAATTCAGTCTGGGTTTCGGCTTCCATCCGCTGCCCTGGGAAATCCTTCCTTCTTTTGGCAGGTGTGTAGTATCGATACTGTGATAGGAAGGACTTTGCCTCTGTCTTTAAAGTGCGTGGAGTGAATGGCAACTGCTTGTTAGAAAAGAGGTCAGAGTGCTTTTCCAAAAGATCTCCACTGGGTGTCTTGGAAATAACTAGCTGGAATCGGTGGGCACCTGGGAAGGCACTCCTAGGCTTCCCGTCACAGCCATGTCCAGGGCACGGGCTCCTGGTTGCAGATCCTGTACAAACCATGCTGGATGGAGAGGTGCTGAGATGCTTCTGGGTGCCATTCATGAGCATTTTATTCGATTCAGGCTGACTTAGATGTAGTCCATTTGAAGAGGGAACAAATGACTTCGAAAATGATGGATATCTTGTTATTTCTTCAATTAACACATCCTGGCCTTGTGGTTCCCCTGAGGGCTAAGAACATATGATTTGATGGTAAGCAGTTACACTGTAAATTCCTGTCACCGGGGAATATCGGATTAACTTATACATGGATCTTGCCTACAACTTCTGTGTGGTAGTACAATCATTACTTTGTTTCCCCCAGGGCTGGGGCTGTACCCAGGGCCTTGAGCTGCTCAGCAAGTATTCTACCAAGGAGCTACATTCCCAGTCCTGCCCTTATTTTCTAGAAGAAAGGGAGGATTAGGGCCACAGATTCAAGCTGACTCTGGGCCTCTGCTCTTTATTATTCCATATATTATCTATTTTAAAAGTTCATCTAGGGGCTGGAGAGATGGCTCAGGGGTTAAGAGCACTGACTGTTCTTCCAGGGGTTCTGAGTTCAATTCCCAGCAACCACATGGTGGCTCACAACCATCTGTGACGTGATCAGGTGCCCTCTTCTGGCACGCACTGTATACATGATAAATAAATAAATAAATGAATAAATAAATAAATCTTTAAAAAAAAAAGTTCATCTAGCTGGGTGTTGGTGGTGCACGCCTTTAATCCCAGCATTCAGGAGGCAGAGGCAGGCGGATCTCTGAGTTCGAGGCCAGCCTGGTTTCCAGAGCGAGTGCCAGGATAGGCTCCAAAGCTACACAGACAAACCCTGTCTTGAAAAACCAAAAAAAAAAAAAAAAAAGTTCATCTGAAGAACTACTTAATTTTAGATTTTGTTTATAGCACAAGGAATCTGAAATTGATTTCAATTCCTTTCTTGATAATGTACAGGTCAGCTAACTTACAAACTGATGTATCTAAGGAAGGAAACTACGTAACTACTTCCTAAAAGGTCCAGACACATAATTTCCCTCCCCAAATAAAAGACAAAATAAGTTATTGTGAATGAGTATTCTGCATTAAATTGTGAGTCCTTAGCTTATTACTTCAGTACATTAGCTTTAAAAAATGCTCCCAAACTGTACATTACAGCTGATGTACAAAGAACGTGGCTCTTTGAAAAGACACTTCTGAATCTTACAGGGCTATTAATTAATAACAATTAGAGTTATTTATACCCAGAGGAATGGTGTAATCTAAGCCTAGAGTAAGGAGAAATGCATAATGTATTAGATTGCCTGAGAAGTCTTATCTGTATGATGTTTTACTAAAATGAAATGCCAAAGAGAACCTTTAAGTACAGAAATACAGAGCTGGGGGGCCAGTGAGATGGCTAAGTAGATAAAGGTGATAGATGCCAAGTCTAAAACCCAAGTTTGATCCCTGGATCTCGATGGAAGAGGAAACCAATTCCCACAAGTTTTCTCACACAGAGGCATGCCATGCATGCACGCATGCACGCACGCACGCGCGCACACACGTACTCATGCACATAGGCATACATAATTAGTAAATGTAAAAAAAAATTGTCTAGCATACACAAGGTTCTGTGTTTAATCCCCAACACAGGAAAAAAAAATAAGAAAAAAGAAATAGTCATCTGATATGGGCTGGCAAATTATTTTTTAGTTAATAAAAAGCATGAAACTTATCTATATTTTTTCTTTGTTTTTCCAGAACAGAGTTTCTCAATATATTTTCATATGTCAAACACTACCTTGTAGTCTATTGCCCCTTGGAAATCAACAGTATGGAATTAATTGTACTACTGATCTGCTTTTCAAGATTATATAATTGTTTCCTTCAGTTCTCTAAATACTGCAAAGCCTAAATAATATTTGCACTGAATATGGGTAACACTTTGATAAGCCACCCCAAATGGAAAAGCAGTCCATTGGAAAGTTCTGGAACAAGCAGTCTGGTGGTGTTCTGCCCTCTTGCTCTGCTGTCATCATGCTGACATGTGAGGTGCTTTGCTATAAACTGTTTCTGTGATTTGGATTTATGCCAAGTTCATGTCAAGGACACTTCCCCAATTTACAACCACCGGGCAAGTGAGATAGCGATCTCTTTTAGGGATAACAGCAGAAGAAACGGTGGACAAGATCTTAACTGCAGCAGCTAGAAGGGGAGCCTTTGGAAGGGCCTGAAAGGTGACCTCCTGTGAAGGAGAGCAGCGGGAAAGCCTGGGCACTGAAGACACAAGGTTCTGAAATAGCAGCTCACATGTCTGCAGAAAGTGCTAAGACACTAAGAGGCTGAAGCCAGCATCAGTCATTGTAACTATCTTTTCAGTGAAAATATTTTACAGTTATCTTAAGTATCTGTTAGCCATAAAATCTAGCCAATTATTGAAATATACTACCCAAGCTAGTAATTTAAGGTAACTTGATGTTTCTAAAGTATTAGTCATTAAAAAGTATTAAAAAATGTAGGTAAACTAAAAATTATTATTACTTCTAAATGGAACCAAAAAATGTATAAAAAAGCATAAATGAACTACCATGTAGGCAAGCAAGTTATAGAATTACAGATATCAAAGAGAAAGTAAATAGACATATTAAAATAATGTTTGTTTTATTTTACTTTATTATAAATGATTCATAAAGTACATGTTGAAATTTAAAAATTTCAACAAACTCTTACTCAAAATTGTTACTTTATATTCAAAATGTTAGAAATTATTTTAAAAAATCACTGGACAATTTTAATAATCATAAAAATACGGGGACTGACAAATGACCCAGAAGTTAAGAACATTTGTTATTCTTTGGCTCCTAGGACCTACACGTTAGCTCAAAACCTCCTGTAACTCAAAAGGGAATCTGATGTCTTTTTTTGGCCTCTGAGGGCACATGGCATGCATGTGGTTGTATGACATACAGGCAGGCACTCACACATACATATACAATGAAATAAATATTAAAAAAAAGAAATCTACCTGTGAGTACAGCATGGATGGATGGAGAGATTAAGAGGTGGTATTATGGTTTAGGGCGGAACAGATCTACTCTAAGGGAAGCAGCCCTCCTGGTCTTTGTCTTTAGAACAGCGCAGGGCTCTCACCCAATCTGCTGCCCTCACCCCATGACTCCCAGATCTTTCTCCTGAAAGAGATGCTTCTATGCAACTGACTCCTGGATATATTCATATTCCCAAGGCACTGCAAACTGAACATGCCAAAGAAGTAAACTGTCTCTTATCACTTCTGCCTTTCTTTTCATATCATCAAACCAGATGCCAAGTCCTAGCAATTTAACTTTCTAAATAATAAGCCCCTGGTACGTGTATTCCTGGCAATCTTTATAATGCCCTGGATCAGCTCTTAAGCTTTCTTTCCCAGATTACTGCAGCCAGTGGATTGTTTATAAAGGGTATGATGTCACTGTTTAGCTAAAAACTTCTCAAGGAGAGAAATAAATAGTCCAGAGTCACCAGAATGGCTCTAATGCCAGTCCTTGTCAATGTCTACTGATAAGCCATGCGTTCATTTGTACTGACAATATTAAGAGTTAAAGGACAATATCTGGTGCTTGGTAAGTTGGTAAGCAGCAAGGAAGCTGTCCTGCCAAGTAGGCTTGCCTGCCTTTCATTTCCTCTTTTCTTTCCTTTCTTTCCCACCTTCCCATCTTCCTTTTCTTTTCTTTCTCTTTAAACCATACCATAGATGCTTGAGAGCATGGGCTACTCTCAATGGCTACTCTCCAACTGCATAACTTGCCCATCTGGAGCCCATCTGGCACTCAATACTGACTACAGGCCTTGGGAAACCTTACTCCCCACACAAGTTTGCAGCAGAAATTTTATATCATTTAGAACTCTGCAAAACTTAAGCTAAAATATATTACTAACTCAGATTCCCTCATATATAAATTACAGGCATGTGCTACAATGCCTGGTGATACCATGACTGTGGTTTAAAGATATATGCTGAAATGTTAATGGGTAAAAATATAGAATCTCACTGAAGGGACCAGCTCCCCTTTCGGCAGTCATAGCAGCAGAACACGTGCTTGTTTGACCTTGTCTTAGTCACTAGAAAGTCAGATGCCTGCCTCGTGACAAGGAACCAATCAGAAGTTAGCTGGTGGCGCTATGCTTTATGACCCTGGGTGTGCTTTACGGACAAGCACACAGCAATGACGCAGAGCATAGCAACCACCCTGGGAGGGCCTATGGGCCATAACAACCAGTTGGCCAATCAACACAGGGCAATCCCTCCAAGCCTGGAGGCACACCAATCCTGAGCTTGTGCGTACCCCTAGACACTCCCCTTACGCTACCCTACAAGATCTCTTGGGAGGCCCTAGGTCCTGTCTTTTGCTAGCCATCCACCATGGTGGGTGGGTGGAAGACCCGAGCTAACATGGGGTTAGCTCGTTAAATTATAATAAAGCCTCATGCAGTTTGCAGCAAGCTCTTGAATCAGCCTGGTGATTGGGGTGACCGTGGCCTGGGACCCCGGATACCTGAGTTTTCCGGAGGTCTAACATCACAATCAGAGCAAAACACTGTAAGCGGGGGTGATGGCTGGTGTTAGAGAAGGAAGACTGGAATGAGCTGATACCACGCATTGGTATCATGTGGGTTCCCTCCAGTACTGAAGTATGCAAGGGATAGTTTTAGTATTGAATTCCATGAAAATAAAAAATAGCTGTTCAGAAAAATGAAATTATGAAATTTGCAGATCAGTGCATCTATCATCCATCCCTCTGCAGAGAAGCTTATTCCTTCAAGAGATGGCAATTAACCCAGAGACCCACAACTGGGCAATGTTCGGGGAGTGAGAGCACTCGGCTCTAAATGAATGTTTGTCAGACACCTCCCCACAAGGCTCAGGGGTTACATGGAAAGGAGGTGGGAAGATGGTAAGATCTGTAGGCAGGGATGATGCCAAAGAGATAGCGTTTTCAGACACAATAGGGGTGACACACTTATGACCTCAGAGAGACTGTGATAGCACACACAAGACTGGCATAGGTTCAAATCAGACAGAATCCCAGCATGGAGAGGGGGAAGCAGATAAACTCCCACCCCTAACTAAGAAAGCATTTGAAACTGACACCTGCTATGGAAAGGGAAAAATCTGTTTTCAGGAGTGGCACTGAGTATATCACCACACTCCAGGGCAGGCACCAGGCCTCCCAGTTGGCCAACACAAAATGGACTTTTGTTTGCTTGTTTTGACTTTCATTTTGTTGTTCTTTATTCTTTTTGAAAGACAGAGAGAAAGACCATGAAATTGGGTGGGTAAGGAAGAGGTAAGGGAAGGGGAAAGTATATGATCAAAATGTAGGAAAATTTTTAAATAAAAAAATTTACCATCCATAAAAAAATAAGAATCCTCCAACTTCTATAAACTAGAATAAAGAAAAAGAAGAAACAGTGCTCTGTGGGTTCACTGAAGCTAGCACAACTAGACAGAAAGAAAAATGTACGCTAGTAACAACAATGTTCAGATGTTAAAATCCTAAACAAAGTTTACTACTGAATCCAGTGTGGGGGACCAAAGTATTTCTGCTATGGAATATTTTGAGATTCAGCCTTGGGTCTCACTAAACATGGAACACCGGAATGCTCCGGCCTCACCATTGTATTGTTAATGCCAGTAAGGCTACTATTGTTTAACATGGCCTCAGGGTAATATGCCTCTTATTTGCATCTGTATGTGCCTAAGCATCTGAATAGCCCTCACCTGGGCAGAGGAGCCAGAGGTGTGTGAATAACTTGTGAGGATGGAAGGTTAGGAGTTAGGTGAGGCCAGTGACCAGAGGAGAGAGGAGAACAAAGAGGGATGGTTTCCTCGTGGTCATGGCAGGACGGGTAAGAAAAACCAGAAAAGATGGCTAATAAAGAAATGACTCTAGTTCCACCACATGGAACTGAGAGCTCTCTGAAGATGACAAGCTGCCTGTGTTTGATCTTTATCGCCGTTGGCTTGCTGGGAGCTTCCAGGTCCACACCCCCCAACTCAGGCCGAACCTCATGGCTGTCATGGGTTAAAGCTGAGACAAGCCGGGTCACGACAATCCAGCAACATAGAAAACCTTAATGCTTTAACCACAGCACAGGGGAAGTAGAGGCAGGTGGATCTCTGTAAGTTTGATGCTAGTCAGGTCTACAGAGCAACTTCCAGGACAAGAGCTGCACAGAAAGACCCTGTCTCAAAACAAGACAAACCAAAAACCAAAAACCAAACAAACAAAAGCACAGAGAGACCCTGTCTCAAAACAAGACAAACAAAAACCAAAAACCAAACAAACAAAATGAAAGGAAGGAAGAAAACTTTAATACATCACAGCTCAGGTCTGTTTATATTAATGCCACAAGTCATTCATATGTTAACAGATGAAACAGAAAATCACATCATCATTGCCAAGAAATGCAAAAAGAACACTGGATAAAATTACACATTGAGATCAAAACATATTGTATCAAAATGTTTTTAATAAAAAAATAATCTATTCATGGGAGAGACTCTGAAAACTGCAATCACTTCTCATCAAACTAAGAACAGACCACTTCTTCCAATAAATATTAAAGAGAGTCAAAAAATAAACCATAGTCCAGGTCAGTCAACTACAGCTGCAGGCCAGATATGAAACATATTCCTTTCTAGCTAGTGGAGCTTGCATGGAACACAAATAGGAACTTAGTGGCAGGCAGTTGTGAGGAGGTATGGCCTGAAAAGCATATAGTAGAGCCACTTGACATTTGCTGCTCAAAGTTGCTGGCCCAAACCTACTGAAAATGGTCCCAAGTCAGGCTGCAGCACCGACATGCCTTAGAGACATCTGCTTTTAAAGAGCAGAAGAACAGCCTTACCTTCTGTAAGGAATTAAAAAGGGGCTTGGAATTCATCTTAGAATTGTTCTGCATTATGGATTTATTTAATTTATATTCCTTTTCACATCGTGCCAATTCCTTTTTCAGTTTCTCTCTTCGTTGTTGGTCCGCATCTATGGAAGGAAACACACCTTCTAAAACAGCAACTAGACACAGAAACTAACTTTTTGGTCTTGCCAGACTAATAAAATCAAGAATTTCTCCCTTCCAAGGCCCCTTTCTTTGCACACATCTCATCACATAGGCCCGCCAGGATGTTCTGCAAGTTGTGATGATCTTGCCTGAAGATTTTCACTCCAGTATGGGATTTGAGGCCAACAGCACCAAGCACGGCGGGCACAGCCTTCTTGCTAAGCATGTTTATACTATTACATGTAGGTAAAATCCATGTTTTTCTGTATAAAGAGATTCTAACTAATGTGTAATTTATAGAAACTTGAAATAGAGACAGGAAAAACACTTGAACCAGGAGTTCAAGGCCATCTGGAGAGCAACAGCTCATCTCAAGAACAAGCAAAACAACAACAAAGTCATGCTAATATTTTAAAAACATCTGCAGTCAGGCAACTGACTTCAGTTTCTTGCAACTGCTATTCATTAGAAAATGCTGGTAGAGAGGTAGTTTCATACGTCAGTGTTCTTTTAAGTCAGCTACTGACTAGCAAGTTAATCAAAAATTTATCCCTGGACAAACATTGAAATAGTAAAATGAAAGCTGGCCACATTCCAGAATTTAACAGACTATTTATAATATTACATGTATTTTTACAGAAAATTAAACCAGCAAGGCCAGTGTGGTGGCACATACCTGTTATTCCAGAGCTTGAAAATAGAAAGAATTACTTTGAGTTTGAGGCCAACCTAGATTGCACAGTGAATATCAGGTTAGCTAGGACTATATTCCAAGATCCTGTCTCCAAAGACCAAATGATGCATGTGGGTGTAGGGTAGGGAGTAGAGCAGGGTGACAAGAAGGCTTAGATGACTCAGTCAATAAAGATGCCTGCCCCCAGGCCGGAAAACCTGTGTGCAATCCTTGAGACCCACGTGGCAGAGAGAATACACTCTCAAAAGTTGTCCTCTGATCTCTACATGTACACTATGGCACCTGATTGTACACATGTGTGTGCAGACAGACTAACACACACACACACACACACACACACACACACACACACACAAGGGCTTAAAAAATAAAAAAAATTTAAAGAGAAAAATGAAATTAAAAGGATATGTTTGATCAAAATTGTAAGCTGGGGCTGGAGAGATGGTTCAGCAGTTAAGAGCACTGGCTGCTCGTTCAGAGGAGCTGGGCTCAATTCCCAACACCCATATAGCAGCTCACAACTGTCTAACTCCAGAATCCAAAGCCCTTTCCTGGACTCTTTGGGCACTGCACACATGTGGTGTGCAGAAAAACACCCATACAGATAAAAATAAAGGTTAAAAAAATTGTAAAGCCTATCTAATGTTATACACACACACACACACACACACATATATATATATACATACACATACATACATACATAGCATTACTGAAATAACTATATTCCAATTTGGATACTGTAAAGATCAAAATGATCAACTCAGCATTCAGCCATATCAGAAAAATGTAAAGCATGAAAACATGGATGGTTCAAATCCAGGGATATATTGTTTTATTTCATAAACCTTATTTCTGAGTTATCCAGATCAATTATGATGATTATAAACTTGATATTATAAGGAGTAATAATGGCTACTAGTTAGCACTTTGGAGATTACAATCTTTTTTATTTTAGCCATTGTACTTCTCTTTATAAGGCAAAAACAACTAATTTATACCTTAAATGATTTAAGGCAATATAATATTTATCCCGAGTAAATGAGCATTAAGTTGAAATTTCAAAACAAAATATGGAAATAAGACTTTACTGACTATTCTGTCAAATTTCAAAATTTCATCTCTATCTTGGAACTCATTTCTGAACTCCAGACTCATATTCTAACTGCCTTCTCAAGACACAACTGTATTTGTTTATCATTTTAAATTAATTAATCTATGTATTGGGGAACATACATGTCATGATATGCACGCAGAAGCTAGAGACCAACTTGTAGGAATCACTTCTCTTCTTCCACCATGTGGGTTCTGGTGATCAAACTCAGGCTGTCAGATTGGGTGGCAAGTGCATTTACCTGCCACGCCATCTTTCTGGCCCCAAGTGGATTCCTAATAGGTACTCATTTTGACCTTAAAATGATGAAGATTGAAGTCCTGATTAATTTCCTCCCCTAAATATTTTCCTACAAATGATAATACTTGGTTTTTTAAGGAACAGCCAGAAAAATAACTAGGAAGTATATGTCAACAACAAAGTTTATTTTTTAAACAATTTAAAAATATGAATTTGGCTGAATCTATAGTATGGAACCTCTATGTATGATGGGCCGACTGTAATTTTAAATTTACCATCTGTATTTTACTAGTTTTTCTGTCTTAGAAAAAGACCAGCCTAATTGTCAAGTTCTATTGTATCAGTCACCCGTCTTTACTTTTGGTTAATATATTCCTTACTACCCTGACAAGGTAGTTATTGTAAGACAAACATGTATCTGTAAGATTACTTGGTAAATTTATAGCTTTAGTGATCAAATTTTTGATCAAGATTATATATAAGGTATATGGCAATATTTTGATGTCTGCAAACTTTATGAAAGGATGACTTAATTGAGACAACTATCAACCCACATAGTTACTCATTTTTTCCTACTTTGTTTTTTTGCAACAAAAACACTTAAGTTCTCTTAGAACATCATGCCATACAATATAGTATTGGTAACGATGCTTCATTTTCCCAACTGAAAGTGCTACCCTTTGCCCAACATCTCTCCATTTCCAACTTCATTCTACTTTCTCCTGACTGGACCACCTGTAGTCCTTGACAACTTGGTGTCTATATGTAGGAGAGATGATGCAGCATTTGTCTTTGTGTTTCTGGTTATCTGCGTGGTGAAGGTCCTCCATATTCATTCCTGCTCCAGACTATGTTTCCTTTTTCTTATATTTTTGGTTGTGAGCCTAGCCTTTAACGGCTGAGCTATTCCTCCAGCCCTATGTTTCCTTTTTCTAAGGCTGACACACAGTCTGTTATCCCACACACATGCACACACGTTCATTATTCACTTCTCTGCTGGGGGCATCGGGACTGTCTCTGTATCTTGGGATTGTGAATAATGCAACAAAACAGGGATATGCATGTGTGACAGGTTGGTTTCATTCCCTCTGAATATATAGCCACAAGTGGGACTGCTGAAACATACAGCAGTTTTATTACTAATTTTTAAAAACTCATACATCAACTTTTTACACGCTACTACGCCAATATACATTCTTACTAGTAGTTGTGCATGGATCCCTTTTCTTCCACATCTTCATCAACACTTGTTATAATCTCTTTCTTTTCATATGTATAGTTGTGTAGTATGGTGGTTAGTAATAAAAAGAACCCCAAAGGGACTGACACCATTAGGAGGTGTTGCCTTGATGGAGAAAGAGTGTCACTGTGAGGGTGGGCCTTGTGGTCCTTTTTGCTTAAGCTTCTCTCAGTGTGATTGTCAGTTGACTTCCTGCTGCCTTCTGATAAAGATGTAGCACTCTTAGCTCAAGTACCTCATCCAATTATAGGCCACCATGCTCCTCCATCATCATGGACTGAACCCTGGAAACTGTAAGCGAGTCACCCCAACTAAATATTTTCCTTATTAAAAGAATTGCCATGGCTCTGTGTGTGTGTGTGTGTGTGTGTGTGTGTGTGTGTGTGTGTGAAGGACAACATTGGGAGCAGGTTCTCTCCCTCCAACTTCCAATTTTTTCCAAATCCCATTTCCAGGGATTGGATGAACTAAGGCTTGCCAGGCTGACAAGCTCCAGCTCCCTAAATGAATATATTCTAATAGTTCTTTATGGTTGAGTCTTTATTTTGCATATTGTTAATTGTTTCTGTGTAATTGCTTTGTCTAGGCCTTCTAATACTATGTGGGAAGAATTGGTACCCTTGCCCTGTGTCATATGTTAGAAGAAGTTACCTCCTCATTATGTTGTCACTATGGAATTTTCATATATAACTTTTATTGTGCTGAGGTTTTTTTTATTAAGGGGTGTGCTGGCTAGTATTTTGTCACCTTGATACAAGCTAGGATCATTTGGGAAGAGGGAACCTCAACTGAGAAAATGCCCTCACCAGACTGGCATGTGGGCAAGCATATGGGACATTTTCTTGATTAATGTAGGAGGGCCCAACTTACTGTGGATGGTGCCAACCTTATGTACATAGTCTTGAGTTGGGTAAGAAAGCAAGCTGAACAGGCCATCAGGAGCAAACCCAGTAAGCAGCATTCCTCCATAGCTTCTGCCTTAGTTCCTACCTCCAGGTTCCTGTCTGAAGTTCCTGTCCTGACTTCCCTCAGTGATGGAGTGAGACCTGAAAGTTGTAAGCTGAAATAAACCCTTTCCTCCCCAAGTTGCTTTTGGTCATGGTGTTTATTGCAGCAATAAAACCCTAAGACTGAGAGTATTTAAAAATCATGAATGGATGAATTTTATCAAATGTTTCTTCTGTATCACTGGAGCTATTCATGTGGTTCTTCCCTTTTACCTTGTTAATGTAGTCCAACACACCGACTGATGTGTATGTTGAACCATCTTGGCACAATCCATTTGGTGGTGGTGTAAGTGCTACTGAGCTCAGTTTCCAAGTGTTTTAATAAGGATCTTTCTTCTATATTCATCACAACATGACCCATAGTTTTCATGTATTGTTTTTGTCTAAATTTGGCACTAGTGTGGTGCTGGTCTCATAAAGTGAGTTTGGATATGAAATGTTCCCACTTGTTCTGAAGTTCTAGGATTGGCTGGTTTCCATCCTTCTCTGGATATCTGGCAGAGTTTGCATAGGAACTCATTTGTTTGGGCTCCTCTTTACTGAGGGCTTTTTAAACTTCCCCCTATGGTCTATTCAGGATTTCCACTCTTGGTTCAGTTTTGCTAGGTTGCACCCTTCTTGAATTTTATCTATTTCCTCTAGTGAACTCCATTTGTTGTGTGGAACTGCTCACAGTAGTCCATGGTCGATTCTTTTTATTTCTGAGGCCTCCGTTGGAATGGCTCTTCTTTCATTTCCGATTTTGAGTCTTCATTCTTTTTTTTCAGTTTGGCTAAGAGTCTGTCAATTTTGTATTTTCAGGAAACCAGTTTCTGTTCTGTTGATTTTCTGTATCTCTTTCCTAATATTTATTATTTCCTTTCTTCTGCTAACTGGGGGCTGCTTTTCCAATTTGTTTTCTTTTTCCTTTTTTAATGCTGTGCTGACATGAGGTCTCATATATGTGAGATAAGTGCTGTACCAGTAAGCTACAGCCTCAATTATTTTTCAATATGCTAAAATTTACATTTAAGTTGTTTGAGAGTCTTTTTCTTCTGAAATGTAGGCATTTGCACTTTAGTATTGACTGCTATGTCAAGTTTCAGTATTTCTGTTTTCATTTTAGACAAGCTGTTTTTTTTTAAGTTAGGGGTTTTGTTTTTGTTTTCATTTGCAGACTGTGTCACTATGAACATGTAATCCTCACGTGTCATCTCCCAGGTGACTGGCGTGCACCACCACACCACATCTGATCTAAAGTTCATTTGATTTCTTCTTGGATTCAAAGTTACTTAGTGCCCCAATTTGTGAATTTTATACTTTCTGTTTTTACTTTTTATTTTAATTAAATTGTGGTTAGAAAGATGGCTGGAATGATTTTTTCCTGAAGATTAATTTGTGACTTGATAAAGCCCTAGAATGTTCTATGTGCTCTTAGGGAAATGTGTATCAAATGGGTGGAAAACTTGGCATCCTTATTAGGTTCATTTCATCAGCTATTTTATCTAACTCAGCTACTTCTCTACTGATTTTGTTTGGGCGTTCTTGCTGTTACTGAAAGTGGAGTATGGAATCTACTATCACTGTATTGCTATCAGTTTCTAGATTTAGATTTTTCTGTCAATATTCATTTTATATATCTCAGGAGCTCTAATATCTACGTCTAATATCTAGACCTTCCTATTGTACCCTTTAATGACCATCTTCTCTCTATACAGACTTTCTGACTCAAAGTCTATTTTGGTCAACACAATGGTATCTCCACTGTTGGTTTCTTTTGGTTATCATTCCTCTGTACTATTGTTTCCCTTTATCCTTTCATTCAGTGTGTCCTTATATCTAAACCAAGACTCCTATAAACAGCACACAACCTTTACCCTTTTCTTTTCTCTTTAGATTAAACCAGCCACTGCATACCTTTGGATCTGGAAGTTTAATCTGTTTACATTTAAAACACATTTATAAGTTGGAACTTATAAAATAACAAAATGGTGATTTTGTTATTGTTTCCTATATTCTTAGGAACTGTTTTATTTCTTCTATTATTTGGTGTGTGTGTGTGTGTGTGTGTGTGTGTGTGTGTTTGGATTATTTTTGTAAAGAAGGAGAACATGAGCACTTTTAAATCCCCAAACAAACAAAAATAAACCAACCAACCAAACTAAGCCCAAATTCCCATGTGTTGTATCTGGAAAAACTGAAGGCCTTGCATGTGACTGGTGGAATGTAAAATAATGCAGATGTTAGAGAAAACCCCATACCAGTTCCAACAATGCACAAAGAATTACTAGGTGTTCCAAAACCTTCACTTCTGGGTATACACTCAAAATATCTGTATGGCCACACCGCCAGCATCGTCAGAATGTAGACATGCGGTTCCCAGAGGCACACATGTGGCTGAGGGTAGCTGGATGACAACCATGACTCTCCTAAACACACATGTACTTAATGCCACTGAAGTTAACTTAGACATAGTTAGAATGTTAGATCTCAAGCTATGTGTGCTTCATCATCTTTCGATAGGGGTATTATGTTAAAAAAATTACTTACATTTGATGCTGGTACTCACACTTACTGGAATTGAGCAGTCCACTGTGGCTGAAAGAGAAAAAAATTACTAATACTTTTGATATTCATAAATAATAAGAAATATCAAATGTATAAGTGACAAAAATCTCTGTAGACTTGAAGTTCTTTGCTTTTTTATTGTATTTCTGGGGATTAAAAACAAAATAACAGCTAAAAAATACTATGTGGGGTTAACAGCTCACTAGATAATGTGGAAGAAAATACTGGTGAATTTGAAAACATAGCAAGGTAAACCATTGGGAAAATATATAAGGAAGACTGAGAAGGGCATGAACAGAACGTGGATGGCCTTAATGTCATGCCTTCATGACACACAGCAACACACCTGAATGGAGTCTTCAAGCAAACTGGAGAGAAGAGAGCAAAACGGTGCATGTATGCTACCTATTTCAACACTTACTGCAGTGAGACAGAACACAAAGCAGGGTGGTGTGGACAGAGAGGTAGACAGGAAGGTAAGCAGATCAAAAAAATTAAATCTCCAGGGCTGGAGAGATGGCTCAGAGGTTAAGAGCACTGACTGATCTTCCAGAGGTCCTGAGTTCAATTCCCAGCAACCACATGGTGGCTCACAACCATCTGTTATGAGATCTGGTTCCCTCTTCTGGTGTGCAGATATATATAAGAGCAGAATGTTGTATACATAATAAATAAATAAAATCTTTTTAAAAAAATTAAATCTCCAGACAGACTTATGCATCTGGTCAAATGATGCCAAGGCATTTCAATAGGGAAAGAATAACCTCTTCAGCAACTAATGCCAGAAATTTTATATATGAGTAGGTAAAAACCAATAACCTTTTTGTTATACTATATGAAAACTCAAAATGGGCCACAGACTTAAATGGAAGCACTAAAAATAGAAAGCTTCTAGAAGAGAACAAATTTAGAAAACCCAAAGATTAGAAAATGATTTCTTAAACATGTTACTAAAAACACAAATTCTAAAATATATGAAAATTGAACTCAATTTTACATGATTTTAACGCCATGCCATGTTATTTTCCTCAATTATTTAAACATAACCTAAACATTTAAACTTCAGTTTATGAAACTACACAGTGAGATCCCATGCCACAAAAAGGTAAGTAAGCATTAGGTAAAGTTAGTAAGAAAAAAAAACCTAGTGAAGTTAAAATAAAGTTCATATTAAGCTTGCTAATATTCAAAGAAGAGACACTACTCTATCCTGGCAGCAGCGAGTGCTGCTGAGGACGCAGCAGTATAGGGAGCCCAAGCTAAGTCACTCTGGGAAGGATTCCATCACAGAGCTCAAGGGACACAGAAAACAAAGGTACTCATGTGAAATAGAAATCTACGCTCACAACTGTATGTGAACTCTAACAGTAATTTAATCTCCCATAGCTCAGAGTGAGCCAAAACAACACAAATACTCACCAAGTCATGAATCAATCAATTAATCGTTAGTCAATCATTAAATGGAATACTTAAAAAACTTTTGTTTTGGTTATTTTGAAGCAGGGTCCCTCTATATAGTCCTAACTGTCCTAGAATTCACTATGTACACCAGGCTGGTCTAGAACTCAGAGAGATCTGCCTCCCTCTGACTCCCGAGTGTTGGGATTAAAGGCATGCAACCCAGGGTTCTAAGAATCCTGGTGCTGGGGAAGCAGGTGGCTGCTCAGGGCTTGATGGCCAGCCAGCCTACCCTAAGGGGTGAGCTTAAAGACAGGGAAAGACTGCTTTAAAAATAAGGAAGAATGACATCTGAGGATATCCTCTGGCCTCTACACACACACACACACACACACACACACACACACCTCACACCCCCAAACTAAGAAAGAAATATTGATAAACACAACACGGATGCCTCAAAGCACGGTGCACACTGAAAGAAGCAAGTATAATAGTAATAATAATAATAATAATAATAATAATAATAATAAATAAAAAATATGTATTATTCTATTAACATGAAATTCTATAACAGACAAAACTATAGGAAAAGCAAGTAGATCAGTAGCTTCAGGGACTTGAGGGGAAAGGACTGATGCAGAGATAAAAGGGGGAGGTTTTTGGGATTGTTGAAATGTCCCATACTGGGATCAGCACACTGTTATTGTGGGGCAGAGGGTAAATGCTCCATCTTTGCCAAGTGACACAGCTGGCCACAACTCATTGAAAAGGCTGCCATAGGCAGTATGAAAAGAATGAACATGACTGTGCTATGGACAGTAAATTCAAATCTCATACTATTTTCAAATGCTACAAAATACCATCCTTTTTTTTTCCCAAGCAACAATTTGAAATATATACACCAATCTCTGTTCATAAACTGGAAAAGAGAAAGTGACAGGAAGACCAAAATACATGCATAGTTAAATGATCTCTGGTTTATTGTGAATATGGTAGTGGATACACACACACACATACACTCACTCACTCACACACACACACTTCCAAAGTATTTCTTTGTATACTTGTAAGTAGTGCATTTTATCCTATGTAAGTTATCTCTTGTTGGTCAGTGGTGGCACACGCCTTTAATCCTAGCACCCAGGAGGCAGGGCAGGCAGATCTCTGTGAGTTCAAGACCAGCCTGATCTACAAATCAAGTTCCAGGACAGCCAGAGCTGTTATATAGAGAAACCCTTTCTCTTTCAAAAAACAAAACAACAACAAAAAAAGAGTATTTTTGTTGTTGTTGTTGTTTTTTGTTTGTTTGTTTGTTTTGAGACAGGGCTTCTCTGAATTGTTTTGGAGGCTGTCCTGGAGCTCACTCTGTAGACCAAGCTGACCTGAAACTCACAGAGATCTGCCTGCCCCTACCCCTGCTGGCATTAAAGGCATGAGCCACCAATGTCTGGCTAAAAAAAGTATCTTAATAAAATCAATAATAAAAGAAAAAAACAGCAGCCAGAATGGTCTTTGTATAACTTCCTAAGTAAAAAAACAGGTTATAAAATTATATTAAAATAAGCATTTAGCTGGGCATGGGCATGAGGGCAGGCCAGCCTGGGCTTTATATTGAGACCCTGCTTTTTTAAAAATGTAAATGGGGAGGGAGGGCAGGGGAGGAAGGAAGAGAGAGGGAATTGGGATTGACATGTAAAACAAGATTGTTTCTAATTTAAATTAAGAAATGTAAAAAAAAAAAATGTAAACAGAGAGGGACCTAGGAAGATAGCACAGTCACTAATGTGATTGTTATGAAAGCACAAGGACCTCAGGACCCAAGGACTCTAGCATCCACAGAAAAAGCAGGCATGGCAGTACATTGTACTCCCAGCCCTGGGAGGGCAGAGACCAGAGGATCTCTGGGGCTTGCTGGCTAGCTAGTTTAGCCTTAAAATGACAAATGCAAGGTCTCAGTGAGAGACCCTCTCTGAAAAAATAAAGTAGATAGCTCTCGAGAAATGACACCTAAGGTTGACCTCTAGCTTCTACACACACACACACACACACACACACACACACACACACATGCGCATGCACTTGAATACACACTTGTTTGCTCACACACATACCCAAACATGCCCCAATACATACTCATAAAATTTTAAACAGAAATAGAAAAATGAGCACTACCTAACAACAAAATAATACCAGAATAAATGCATTAAATGAGCTGCCTAGGCGTTATGTGGATGTAAATACTGTTAACATAAAATCTGCCATCCACATAATCAGTAGTTGGCATCTCACTTTAAGCACACAAGTCCTCTTTGAGATAATGTATTAACTTTTGCCACAGGTTTGTCATAGTGAGAAGTAAAGCTGGGGTGTAAACTGGCACAGAAAATTCAAATTTGCACATTTTTACCTTTGGCTGAAAGGATTTTATTATAGTGAACAGTCATGTGATTCTTGACCAGCTGGAGAGTGGTTAGTCTGAGAGAAGAGGAGTCAGTGCAAAAAGCTAAAAATTAAAACATATTTAATCATTACATATTTAAACTTAACACAGCATCACAAGATACACAAGTTACTCAAGTCATTCTTAGTCATGTTCTGGAGTTCACGGAAAAGGCTGAGAGCACGCGTGCATGGTGCTGTATCCAGCCCCGTCTCGCCCGGCTAACACTGATTAGCAACTCATCACTTGGGTTCAAACCACTTCAAGAATTAAGTTTTACAGGCTTGAGAATTTGGAAAAGAGAGTCTAAAATATAATCTTCAAAATAATCTAGGATATCATCTGTTAATAGATTGATACTTTTAATCTACAATTAATATAATTGATTACAATTAATATAATTGATTTTATATCTTTTTATTTCATAAATAAAAATCTTTAGTCACTTGCTTGGCTATGAACAAACCACTGAATTTGGAAAAGCAAACAAATCCCAAACCACAAGACTATACAAAGATTCTGCTCTGAGAGGCAATTCTCTCACTTTAGACCTGGCATCAAGAGCCACAGTCTTCTTTAAGTACAGGCACTTAAAATCTACGCTGTTCAACTTTTCCACCTTCATTAAGTTTGTTTAAAGGAACTCTTAGAAGCATTAAGCACCAATCAGAAGTATCAAGTACTATGCAGACATATTTTTAAACATTTAAAAACACTTTTTCTGCATGTGTATGTGTGTGATACATATGCATGTCCACATGTGTGTGGGTACATGTACGTATGCAAGTGAGAGTGTGTGCATGTGTGCAGATGTCAGGAATCATCCTTGATCACTCTCCATCTCATTCGTGGAGATGGGATCTTTCATTTGAAGCCTGACTGGCTGATAAGGCTAGTCTAACCAGCCAGCTGCTCTGGGTATCCCATCTCTGTCTCCCCAAGGCAGGCGGGCTGCTACTCCCACCATGTATTTATATGGGCTTTGGGGGTCCAGCTCTCAAATTTGTCCCTTGAGATATCTATCTCCCCTGACCCTGAAAAGATTTTGGGAAGTCTTACAAGCATATGCTTAAAAAATTCAACAGTGAAATAGGATACAGGGCTTGAAAAACAAGGGATTTTCTACATTGAAATATAAGATTCCCCTCCTAGATCTATCCTTTAGTAATTCAAAAGCAATCCTTTTAGCGAAACTCTGCATAATACAGGCATGTTATTATGGAAGACATTGCTGGAGGGGCACCTGCCATGCACTGTTCCACTCTCTCTTCCAGTAAAACTTTTTCTAGCTACGATTATCACCATTTTACAAGTGGGAACTAAGGCACAGAACTGTGAACTATATCCCCAGTACTTTATTTATTTATTTGAGAAAGGGTCTCAAGTTCCCAGAATGGCCCTGACCTCACTCTGTAGCCCAGGCAAGTTATAAACTTGCTTTCCCCCTACCTCAGCCTTCCAGATATTGGTATTACAAGCTTGTGCCACCAACACTGCTTCAAAGGTTTTTTTGTTTGTTTATTAAAAATAAGCTTTCATAGCTCTTCTTATGAATACATTGTGGTACAAAGAAACATTTCATCATTTCTTCATATTTAGAGGAGACAGTATGAAAGAGTGGAAATAAGGACAATAGGTTTAAACTAGTTTTCCTAAAACCCATTCCAAAGACTTTCAAGTCATAATTACAAAATTATTTTAGAGTTCTCATTACAATTTTACTCTGAAGACTTGAAAATGTAAAAGCATCATGGGACACAGGGATTCAGCAACCCATAAACATTAGCTGAGACAATATATCCGAGTTGTCTTTACACAGCTTTTCTTTAGGGCTTGTGTCTTCATCACTTGAAAATCCTTTACAAGTCAGGCATGCCTTCAATCAGACCTTGTGCTGGCAAAAGTAGCCCCTGGCTGTAGCAGAGTGGGAAGCAGGAGGCAGCTAAGTCCACGTTCAGGGCACAGTAAGAGTTCAATGTGTCTAAAGAATACCTACAACATTTAATTCTAGTTACTAATGTGAAGCACAAATGTCCATTAAGAGAACTGTTTCATCAGGCTGTGTGATTTCCCAGCACAGAAAAGCGAGTCTTTCAATGAAGCCACAGTGTTAAGTAGCTCACTTACCATTGCTCTTGGTGCTCAAGTGTCCTGTAAATAGGCATGGTGGATTGTATCTGGGGAGCACAGAGGTTGCTCTGACTTTCAACAACAATAAAAATCACGAATTAGGACATGTGAAACATAACTTTCACAAAAAACCAATATAGAATATTAAAAAAAAACATTTCAATTTTAAACAAAGTTGTTAAAACTTTTACTCAGCTAGGCATGGTGGCACATGCCTTTAATTCCAGCAGTTGGGAGGCAGGGGCAGGTGGATCTCATGAATTTTAGGACAGCTGGGTCTACACAGAGTTTGAATCCAGCCAGGGCTACATAACCAGACCATGTTTCAAAGACAAAACAAAACAAAAAACCACAAGTCACATTATTACCAGCAATAATATATCAAACAGAAAAAAAGTCAATGACCATTGATTGAACCTTTTCTTTTTTGGGAAAATAAGACAAGGTTGGGGAGATGGCTCAGTTGATCAAGTGGCTATCACAGAAGCACCAAAGATCTGACTATGGATCTGTGTAAAACGGCAGCACATGCGTGTAACTCCAGCCTTGGAGCAGCTAGGTGTGAGCACAGGTAGCCAGCTCCTTGACACTCTGACGAACCACCCTAGCTGAATCAATGAACTTCAAAAGTTCATTAACTGATAGTTTCAATTGTCAAACTGACACAACCTAGAATTACCTGTGAAAAGTCTCAATGAGGGAGTGCCTAGATCACATTAGCCTGGTCATGCCTGTGAGGAATAAACGTGTGTATGTGTACACTTGCAGCATGTGCTCCAATGTCCTGGGAAGCCAGAGGCATGAGTTCAATTCCCAGCAACCACATGGTGGCTCACAACCATCTAAAATGCAATCTGGTGCCCTCTTTTGGCAAGTAGGCATACATGCAGAAAGAACACTGCATACATAATAAATAAATCTAAAAACAAAAAACAAAACAAAAACTTAAAAAGGCATAGTTTCATAGTTACATTCATAGCATTAATGTAACTAGTGTGCAGAACACAAATACTGTATGCCCCAGGCAGCTTTTATTGGTGTGGTGGTGCAGAGGGTCAAACCAGGGTCACTTCTTTACATTAGGTTGTGCACTTACTGGTTTCTAACATCCCTAAGAGATAAATGCCATGTTAAAACTCACGGAGCTGAAGAAAGGAAAAGATGACATTTCATCTGGGCCTTCTCTCAGGTGCTGCTCCCTCAACTGGGTTATATATTGTTTCTTTAGATGACTCTCCCCCCCCCCATATACTATGACTGTTTAACAATTCTTTATACTCCTCCTTTAAATTACCCTAGGCTGCTTCCATATCCTGATAGGACCTAGAATGATCCAGAAGTAGTCTCACACCAAATGCCCAGAACAAGAACTAAAAATTGGAGCAGGAGCTTGATGGTCTTGCAGGACAGTCAAATTCTTCAGCTCCACTTCCTATAAAATTTGATTTTACTAACAACTGGCAGAAAACTCACTGAGGAAATACAAAAACCAAAAAACAAACAAAAAACAAACAAAAAACAGTGTTTCAGTATTTTACCGAAATTGCTGGAAATTTAGGAATAAGTCGCTTATATATGTATCTCCATGGGAGCAGCAGATAAAGACATCTTTCCCAGTCTATTTTCAGCTAACTGTCCTAACAGGTTGTCTCCTCCTGTTTTTCCAGCCCAGGTTGCTGATAACACAATGGATGGTGGACCAATATTCTTAATTTTCTCCTTCCTCCCATCAGACACTGGAAACAAAGCCTTACAGATTATTAAGTCTAGCTTCCCCATTTTACATACAACTAAGGCTTGGGAAAGTAAAGTAACTGGCAGAAGAATGTCTCATTAGTTAATAACAAAGACTAGAAACAAGCCCTATTGTTTTTCAAGCTGGTGCTTTCTGCTTCATCACCACTCTGATGGTTGACCTTACAAAAGAATGTGGCTACTGTAAGCAAGTGAGGAACTTTCCCCTCAGGCATCTTTAGTATTTTATGTTCTAAAATAGCTGAAGAAACTAATGAAATCTAAGACATTTACTTTCAATTAAAATTAAGCATTTAAGCTTTAGCTACATTAATGGCTACTTATAAATAATTTATAATTAATGACAATTATAGTTACTTGTAATTTGTACTATATGAAAACTAGCCCAGGCATCTATTGACTATAACATTTATTTTACAAGTTCAAAACTAGAAACAATGCCACTTGGGTAAGGTATAAAGTATTAACCCGTGCACAAATGCACCCACCCATACTATGCAAGTAAAAGAATTAACTCAAGGGTTTTTACATTCTTAGTCTGGTTTCAAAGCTTGTTCTGTCACCTATTGTGACACTGGGGGTATTATTTATAATCTTCTATTTATTTCAAAATATGAATAAAATCTACTTAACAGGATTTGTGTATGTACACTAAACAGGTGTTTGGTTATGGGCGGACCACAGCAAAGGATTAAAGCTTGTTTTGTAGCCATTTCTGAAGACCACACGAGCATTATGATTTGCTTTTTCTAGAACTTAGGCTGGTATAATGTCTGAATAGCCTGTCAACTGACCTGCTACACACCAAGCATAACACTCATTCTGACCAATCATTGTAAAATAAAGGTGCATGCAAGTTGAAATCAAGACTTAATTCAAGAAACCATTAGCGGATCCATTCAAAGGTAACCTTTAAGCCCTAAGAAAGAACACTTGCTTAGGCTGTGGAGCTTCGGCTTCGATTGCGCTGATTTGTAAAGACTTATGGGTGTGTGTGTGTGGGGGGGGGTCACCAACTACTTCACACTTTCCACTTGACTCAGAATACCAATCAAGGCACATAGGTGTACACTGTGATTATGGGTAGTCTCGTGCTATTAAACATTCAGTCCACCAACCAGCCACATGCATGGGAAGTTTACTACAAACGAGGTATCCCAGCTCCTCACGTTGCAGCAACTGGGGGACTGCGGGACTTCACGTACACTAAGGATTTAGAATGCACCAGGAGCTTGCTACATATTATCTGCACTTAATCCCCAGGAACTCCGTGGCGTGGGTATTCCCCCCTCCCCTACATTCAAGATGGGGAAACTGAGGGTCGTTTCTGTGAAAGAGGCGGGCCTGATCTGGGGTTTCGGGTCGGCCTTCAAAGACCAGGCTTGGTCTTCTGCCTAGAGGATACCGAGGTGATACAGGCTGCAGGGTCCCGAGGTCAGAGGATGGATGTCAGGACGGCAGACTCAGGGCCAGGCAATAGGTCAATGAGACGGGCAAGCGGAGCCTCCCCCGGGGCCCCGGGGCTGTCCAGCTCCGGTCATCACCACGCGACACCGGAGAAGGAGCTGGCAGGCCACCCGAAAGGCCAGGGCGCGGCCTGGACCCGCGCAGCCCCTTACCTCTCCGGCTGCCATCCATGCTTAGTACTCCTGCAGCCTTCAAGGGGTCGCTCTGTGACCCCTCGGTTCTTGCCCGGGCCAAGCCCCTGCCGTGGAGATTTGGGAAGACTAACCCGCGGGGGCTTCAGCGCCACAGAGACCGTCTCCAGGCTGGTTGCTAAGGGCCGGCTCTGCGGCGGCAGATTATGACGTCACACCACAGGGACGCGCGCTCCCAGGCCCCGCCCAGCCCGCTTCCCTAGGCCCCCCAGGTTGCAGAGAGGGTGGAGGCATCGGGCTGGAGAAGGGGTCCTGGTGCCAATCCGCGGCTCTTCCAGTCACCCAGAGTGAACTGTTGTCAGGAAGGCGAGTCGAATCTGTTTCTGTCGTCGTGCCCACTTTTTACTTGGGTGCTGGGGATTCGAACTCAGGCGCTCAAACTTTCAGAGCAAGCGCTCTTGACCAGGGAGTGGTCTCCTGCAGCCCATATCTTAGTTTGTGTTAATTTTCTGCATCCTGAGTCCTCACTGTCCCTTTATCTCAAAGCTACAAATCCCGTTTCATTTTCAATGGAAGAAAGCTGCGAGCCGTCTGTTCGCGGCTCTGCAAGTTGTTTATTTTTGCAATAGTTAATTGTGAATCCTTGGAAGGAAGATCAGAGTGGGGTGGAGGGAATGCAGAGAGCATCTGTCACGCTGGCTTTCTCAGTAACCCGTTCTTGAACTTTTAGGGAGAATGGGTAAGTCTTTGTTGTGTGATCGCGTAGCAGCGTTCCTGGACTCTACCCACTTGAAAACAAACAGCCCACTCATTGCAACCAAACTCCTAACAACCAAAAATCTCGCTAGGTATTGCCAAAGTTTGCCTGGGGAGGAAACTACATCCTGTCTGAGAACCTCTTAACATAAAAAAAAAAAAAAAAAAAAAGGCTGGATTTGAGCCAGATTTGCTGAACTTTGAGCTTCTTTATATTATGGTTGGTTTTAATGGCAACTTGCCACAAGTTACGATATGGAGATTGCCCTGTTTGCCTTAAATGACTTGGAAGACCCACTCTGATTGTGGGTGCCACCTTCTGGTAGCAGTGCAAATTTTAAGGTCCTGGCAGAAAAGGAAGATAGTTCATATCTTGGTGTCTTGGTCTTCCTCATGCTGACCTGTTGCTGTGTGGTTGTGTCCTTCCAAGTTAGAAACAGTTTTCCATCAGGATCTAAGGACCAGTAGCTCTCCAGGAATTTTTCAGAGTTTTGGCAGGAGGAGGGGACTGTTGAGGCACCCAGACTTGGGAACTGAGCATCAATCAAATTGCCAGCCTCCCTAATGAGAGTCACTGTGGATTACTCTGACCACGGATCCACCCAATGATTGAGAAACTATACACACACACACACACACACACACACACACACACACACACACTGGTTCTGTTCCTCTAGACAACCCTGACTAATACAAACTGTGGTATCAGGAGTGGTTCTGGAAGAACAGAAATGAAGGCATGAGTTTCTCTGGTAGTCCTGGTAGTAACTGGAGGTAGCTCCCAGCTGGATGAAATCTGAGGTCATTTAAGACTCTTCTGGTAGCACGGAGAACACGAACAGTCCATGACGTGAACCATTTCAAGAACTTACCAAAGCTCATGCATTTGATGCTCTCAATTCACCTCTGTGAGCTGTGAAGACTTTCATGGCTGTGTAAACATCTCTGAGCTTTTGTGGAACAATAAGGAAATGCTGCTGCTGACTGATTCCCTTTAACTCTCTGGACAAAGTTAGAAAAGAAGAGAAACAAAACAAGATGAGTGATAAAATTGACCAGCTCCAGATGCATATAGACAATCTCAAAGTTTCTGAGTGTGCCCTGAAATGGAATCTTTTCTCCAGCAGCCTTAGAGTTCAAGTTGCAGACCAAACACAAGCCCTCATTATAGTATTAGCTGACTCACAATGTGGAATAATTTCCCAGCCTCAAAGTGTGTCAACAGTTAAAGTGAGGCACTGACTGGAAGTGAAGTCCTGTGACTTGGGATGGCAATGTATGAGAGGACCCTGAGGAGGCGGAGGATGTTGACTTCTCAGATTCTGATGGGCCCACTCTGCCTGAGGAAATCCTCCCAACCCTTAGCAGAGGATGCAGTTCCACCCTTCCCCTGACCCCTTCACTGTTGCTGTCTCTATCCTTGCCCAGGGAAATTGATCCTGCCTCCTATGCAGAGCAGGTGATGACTTTATCTAAAGGAGATGTCAGAAAGGACAGTGCTAGGGTCCCTCAGGAGCCACCTATCATTGCCTCTATCATTGCCTAGCTTGATGGCTAGGTTAAGTAGACCCCAGAGGTGAGAATGGAAATGTGGTCCATGAGAAGGTATGCTAATGCCACTAAAGAATTTAATGAGTTTTCTAATTCATTCAAGTTGAAGTCTGGAGACTAATTGTGAGAGAGGTCAATTGAGACAATGCCTCCATCGGACTCCTCTGTACACAAGTCTGTGGGGGCATTTTCATGATTTATGATTGAATGTGAGAGCCCACCCACTGTGGACAGTGCTATCCCTGGGCAGGTGGTTCTGGGTTGTATGGAGAAGAAAACTGAGCAAGCCATGAGGAGCACGCCTGTAAATAGTGTTCTTCCATGGCCAGCCTCTAGGTTCCTGGCTTGAGTTCCTGTCCTGACTTCCCAGTTGTAAGATGAAACAAACCATTTTATCCCAAACTTGCTTTTGGTCATTTTGTCATAGCAATAAAAACCCAACTAGGACAAACTACAGGTTTGATCTTGAGTTAAATTTTAAGCGTGGCTGAGCCTCAAGTCCCTGTTTATGTAAACAAAAAGAATGCTGGAAATTGTGCAGATACACATATTGTATGGACAGTGGCTGGCCAAGGAAATGTGGTATTGTACAGATGTCAGTTTTCTTTTTTTTTTTCTTTTGGTTTTTCAAGACAGGGTTTCTCTGTGTAGCTTTGGAGCCTATCCTGGCACTCGCTCTGGAGACCAGGCTAGTCTCGAACTCACAGAGATCCTCCTGCCTCTGCCTCCCGAGTGCTGGGATTAAAGGCGTGTGCCACCAATGTCCGGTCAGATGTCAGTGTTCTCTTCTAAGACTTCTGTCTCAGAAGAGCGAAACATAAGGAGAGCGAGGCTTAAGGGAAGTAAATCAGAAATCCTATAACACAAAAGGGAAATAAAACCCAGAATCCCAGGTATAATAATGTCTGGAACAGTGGTTCTCTAAGACATAGGGAGGAGAGAAAATTGGGCTTAAAATGTGACGATTCTGTATCTCCAACGAACTTTAGGATGATGCAGAGTTAGGGGACAAAGAACATCTTCTGCTCTTGCAGAGGACCCAAGTTCAGTTCACAGCTACCACACTGGGTGTAGCTCACAACCATCTGTGACTCCAGCTTCGGAGGATCTGAAACCTTTGGCCTCCAATGGCACCTGCACTGGTGTGTGCACACCCACACATGGACACACACACATCCTCACAGCTAAAAATAAAATGCTCTTTTTTTCTTCAGATTTTTTTTTATTTGAATTAGAAACAAGATTGTTCTACATGACA